CAGTGAGACGTTATTGACGGCCGAAATGAAAGTGAAGTCATTGCAGACAATCATCGAGTGATTGAATGGTGTATTGAATGACATGTTTAGCGGCTTTTCACTGAATTTAGTATTAAAATGAATTTAATGTTGAATTTGAATGCAATTAATAAATATATTTATCACAACCTTTTGATCTGTTTGGCAATTATATCACATGTCTGTCCCAATGAATGGGAGGACAAAGGTATTTACCCTAAGAAAGAGCACTCTCTCGTCAAACCATATCAGGGTAAGTGTCAATGAATTACAGCCTTATTAACCATTACTATTAGTCTATTAACCATTACTATTAGTCTATTACCCGTCATATTAACCATTATTAGTGTGACTATTGATTCAATGAATGCTTTCATTGATTGTCTCATGTATTCAATGCCTTTAACCACTATTTCATGCAAACATAGTCTCCAATCAATCAACGCTTATGTCTCCAAATGTTAGCTAACTTTTCCTCTTATTTGCAAAACTTGTTAATAAATTAAGTAATTATTGTGTAATTTAATTGTGAATTGTGTTACGATTTAGTAAAATGTGTGCATTTTATGTGCATTTCAATAAAATCACTGTTTATTTGATTTTCTAATATAAAAAGTCCAATGATTTGTTGTATTAATTAAATACACGTTTCATAAACCAATCGATTCATACACTCATTGCAAACAATTTATGACTTTTTATAACTATTTTCATACATTTTTTTAGAATAAAAGTTTTGTTAATTAAAAATCAAACACTTCCTAATGACTGTACCTTGTATCAATATTTATTTAAAAGTGCACTTTTGATACTTTTATAATAAAATTGATTTAATTTTGACACCAATTTGAGAGATATGTGAAGAATAATTGCATAAAAATTGTAATTAATTAAACAATTTGTATTATAACTATAATTGTTGAAATGTGATTAACCCTGAATATGTAACACATAATGAATATGTAAAATGAATTGAATGGTTGTGTGTTAGGAACTGGTATGACGATCCCCTCGTGGGACTTCTCGGGCTCAACGATGGTGACGACCAGCTTTATTAGGATAACCCCCGACCAACAGTCCCGGATGGGAGGCCTTTGGAATAAAATTGTATGACATATGC